GTTCACTAGTATGAAAGACAGAAAGCAGACCCAAGTCAGGAGCTGAGTCCCACATTGCAAAGGCCGAGGACACAACCAGAACTGTGCAGGCATTAATTCTTAAGAGCAAGCACTACTGCAAAAATGAACCATTAAGACTAAATTCACTTTTATAAGTATCTCATCCTTTAGCCTGATATTACCATCCTGAAACATTCTGAACATGAATTTAAAATTTCTAAAACTTAGGAAACCTAAAAATGGCATATATTTTACAAATAAGTCAAATGTAAGCATATGAGTAGATTCATGGAGAATTTCCTCCCATGGAAATTTCTTTCAGTCACATCCCTTACTCATAATGATTTGGGATGCTTTTTTTGTTGTTATTTTTCAGTTTTTACCTAACATTTAATGTTTAATATTTTCATGGAGAGAGAGAGGGGCAGAGACTGAGAGACAGAGAGAAAACAAAAGCCCTTGATTCACTTTAGCAGCTAAGTCCATTTTGTCAACTGATGATGCATCCAGCATTGTTCCTCCCATACATAACTTCATTCTTTTCATGCAAATAACGCCATTGTTTAGAGTTGTTTTCAAATAGGTAAGGCAATAATAAGGTTTCTCTGTGTATCTCTACTCATATATGAAATAGTATCTAGTGAGTAATTAATACAAGGTATAGCTAAATATTATTATTATTTGTAACTCTCAAAATGTTAATAGTACTTTGAGCTTACTATATTTCTTTTTTCTACATTTTAAAACTAATTAATTTGACAGTTTCATACACATACATAATGCATACTGATTATTCTCATCTCCACCCTCTTTTATCTCCCTCCCATTCATGTCAGCCCCATCCTTCTCTACAAATCTTTCCCACATTTATGACTGATTTGTGACCCACTGAGTTTAACCAGCACCATCTGCATGCCTCTGGGTTTGGAACTCTCCATTGGAGCCCAGTGTACTCACTAGTGGATACACAACTGAAGGCAATGACTCCCCATCTCCCAGAATCTGTCAGGAGCCAATAGGTGATCAGTAAGGGGTAAGGCTCCATGAGCCCCTCCTCCATCTATGGTGGACAGATGGTACAGCCAATCCTAGGCAAGTCCTCTAAAGAAAGCACAGCGACTGTGAGCTCCTGACTGCAAATGGGTTTCTGTAGACCCTTATCACAATTTTGCATCAGAAGTCTCTCCATCTTTTTCTGTCCTCATGAATTAGTTAATCCACAGCCCTTAAAGTCAGTAATTTTGAATTTTTATTGGGACATATATTCTTCTCAATACAATGCCAAACAGTCACTGGTAGTGTTCAATGCAGACATAATGGTACCTGTTCAAAGCAAAGTAAAACCTTATACTAAAAGAACTATAATCATCATTAGGGAAAGATACTAAATCAGGGAAAACTCTCAAAGTCAACAAAGTGCTCAAGGGAAACTATTCCAACAAAATCATTTGTTCAGGGTGAGAAGGAACAGAACTTCTACAATAAATTTGAGTGGCTATTAGGACGTAAGAGAACAAGAAGAAAAGTCAAGCAGCACACAACCTGATTTGCCATGAGGCTAAAAACTCACAAATCAGAATTCCATTGTCCCAAACAGTAAAAGAGAATTTCATTCCCACGTCTTAACTAGATCTAGAAAATGAGAAATTCTTACTCATCATGTGGAATAAACTCTATTTCTTGGCACTTTTTCAGATAAGGAAAATGAAGCCCAAACTGGTGACTGGTAATCCAAAATGGACCAGGCAATGCCATATTCAGGACACAGGGAAAGTATTCCACTTACAGCCTAGTACTGTTTCAACCAAGCATTAACAATTAGCATTTAGGAAACCATTCCTGTGTCTCCTGGGCAGAAATCTACTCCACTACAATGAGGGGTGATTCAAGTGACTACATTAGTGTTCTAGGAATGTCATGTATTAAGCATATTATTTTCAAATTATTCTTCTACCTTAAAACACACAAATGTATTCAACCTTGCTGAGACAGTCACTGAAACAAGTTCTAAAAACATGCTGTATTTTAATAGTGCAGAGACAATGATTTGAAAGGCTTAAAAGAAATTGAGAGGAAGTATAGGACACTCCATAGATAGATAGCAGGCTACTTTTCCCGTAAGAAGGAAATAATGTAAATTGTTCTAGATGGAGGTGGTAGTGCATGCTTGTAATCCTAGCATTCAGGAGGCAGAAGCACAGATGGCCTCAAGTTTGAGGCAACACTGGTAAACACAGGGAGTTCCAGGTCAGCCTGAGCTAAAGACTGAGACCCTGTGTCAACAAAATAAATAACTAAACATATTAAATATATATATTCTATTCATCACTATTAGAAAAATATTTTATTCATTGTTTTCATTTTATGTGTGTGAGTATATTGCCTGCATGTAGGTAGGTGCACCCATGTATGCAGTGCCCACAGATATCAGAAGAGGGTATCAGATCTCTGGAACTGGAGTTATGGAAGGTTGTTAGCCTCATGTGGGTGCTGAGAATCGAACCTTGGTCCTCTCTCCAGTCCTCTGCAAAAGTAGCCAGTGTTCTTAACCACTGGGTCATCTCTCCAGCCCTTTATCACTATTTGTATAAAAAAAGGATGCATTTAAAGTTCAATTTAGCCCAGTGGTACAAGCCTGTAATAATAGCACTCAAGAGGCTGAGGCAGGAGGATGAGGAGTTGGCAGCCAAACTAGCATGTACTGCAAGTTACAGGCCAGAAGGAGGACCTAGTGAGACCTTGTCTCAAAAAAACTCAACAAAAACAAAAACAAAACAAAACAAAACAAAACTCATTAAAGTAGACAGATATCAGGATAAAGGAAAAAAGAGGTAAATAGAAGCACAAATAAGAATACTTAATGTGTAATTTGTTTTTATAGTCTTGATTTCAAGACCATGTGACTATATTACTCATCCTCCCACAGATTTTATGCACTGCCAACATGTCCACAGCTAACTATGATTTAGTCTTCCTGAGGACATAGGCAAATGCATTTCCAGTACTCTGTCTTCACATTCTGGACTGTAAATATGTGGACAAGTAGCCCACTTGAAATTCACTTTGTAAAGTTTTAGTAATGATATTCTATACCCTGGATACAGTGTTAGCATCCATACACAGGTGAAAAAAATAAGGCAAGAAAAGACGATAATCTTGCTTTTATAAATTCTTTGTATTCCTCTTACAATTGATTACAATTTTAAACAGTAAAGGGTAAAACATTCTTAATGACCAATCTTCCCCCAATAAATACTCTAAGCAGACTGGCAAGCAGGCTATTGATGCTCTTAGTGTTTCTAAAGAGCTTAACAACTAGCTAATACCAAATTTCAATTTATACATGTGCTAATGTAAGTAATGCAAGAAATGTTTGCTTCTCTCAATAACATAAATACCCAATAACTGCAATCAGTATATTTTATGTTGATTTGTTCTCCACTTTTCTGGAATGCTTTTGGAAGCATTCATTCATATGCTCGAAGCTATCGTTAACAAATACCTTTTCTTTTGATCTGTCACATGATATTGTAAAGTATCAAATTTTCTAAAAATGGTAACTCTTGATTTCTTTTGAAAATAAAGTGTGATCTGATCCATTAAATAGTGATAGGGTTAAAGAGTGAAAAACTACAAGAATTGTTTTAAAGATGTTCTCAATAACATTCACATCCAAAGGCTTAAAGGTTATTAAAATAGAATTCAATACTGTGGCAATGATTCTCAAGTATTATATTATTCCATCCTGAAGTCTTTTACTGCCTCAGAGGCATGCTGCAAAAATTTATTTTAAAAATATAAATACGCTTATGTCATTAACTGATTCATTAATCCAGTGATTAGTCCACGTTTAAGGAATTATGTAGTATGGCAGGACCATAATACATATTTACTCAACAAGGATAAAAGAAAACTAAGGTTTAAGGTCACTAGGGCCTTATCTTATACATATAGAAATATTCTTTCTTACAAGAGATCTCGTTTTCAAACATAATGAGCTTACTCTATATTTACTATCAGGTAAGCACTATGGAAAGAAATTTAGCTATTAAAGTAAATCTGGAAACATCAATGTCCCTCAATGAAAGAATGGTAAAACAATCCTTTGTCCACCCAAAACAACAGACTATTGTTACTCAGTATTAAAAAGAAAGAGTGGGGATAGAAAGATGTCTCAGTGGTTATCAGCATTTGCTGTTTTTGAGAGGTCCCAGGTTCAGTTCCCAGCACCCACATGGCAGCTCACTACTGTCTGTAACTCCAGTTCCAAAGGGTCCAGTGCCTTTTCTGGGCTCTATGGGCACCGGAGAGGCACAAAGTATACATACACATGCAAGCAAGACAATCATACACATAAAATAAAAATAAATCCTTTACAAAGTGTTTTCTTAAGAGAAAAGTGTTCATACATACAAGTTTGGTATATCTCCAGAAAATAATGCTGAGGGAAGACAATCCTAAAAGATTATATATTGTATTAAGACATCCTGGTGATAACAAAATTCTACAAATGGAGATCATTTCTGTATGGGAATGGATCCCATCTCTAATGGGAACATGAGATCTTCTATATTCCTACAATTACATGTGAAACATGAATTACCTCAAAAGAAGGATTTCAATAACACAGTCAGGTGTCACTTCATAACTGCATTGTGTACACACACATCATAGAGTGTATTTATAAGCAAATAAGGCCACAACATCCCCATACAATATAATCTGAAGTAATCACTATCAAATATGTAATAGTGATTGATGGAAACATAATTATGTGTTATACAACTGTAATTTTAAAACAAAGACTCATAAGCAAAAACAGATTTCAGTGGCAAGTTAGTATTTTAAAGACTCCTCCAGCAGAAGCACAAAAGTAATAAATAAAATGATACATTACCCACAAAGAAAGTGTCAGAGGAAACAATGATGCAAGCAATATCATTATTAATGAATACTTAGATACATTTAGGGACAATTAAAATTCAAGGTGGAAAACTTACCCGATGCTTTGCCTTAATTTTCTTCCTATATTCTTCTTTGTCAAATCTGTCCTCTTCCCGGAGCCTTTCCTTGGCTTTATGTAAGTTGATACCACCAGTGTCATCTTCTTCCTCCACATCTTTTATAAGAGACTGCTGTATCTGTGGCCACTGTTGAACCAACTAGAGACAGGAAAGATAAGTAGAGATGGGAAATAGGCCATGCCCACAAAAACCATCTCCTTTTGTGTAATCATTTTAAATGGGGCATATACCCACTTTCTGCCTAACAATTTGTAGCTCATAAACTTCATAATTAAAGAAGTGACAGGAAAGACCATCAGCATAAAAGTAATATTGTCAGTACCCTCTGATAACATGATTAAAAGACAATTCCACAAAATTATCTGGATAAGGTAGCCGCAAAACAGAAATGTTTCCCCAAAATGTTAGCATCCTATTCTCCAAACAACTCAGCTCAAAATCATTTGCATAGAGCAGAACCCCTGGAGACAAGCATGAATCACTTTCGGACTGCACTCAGGTACTCTGTGTATGCTTCTAACACAGCTCACCAAAATGCACTGGTTTACTTTCCTGTTTCTCTTACTAGAATTAATATCCTTATTGGTAGGTATCTATATACCTTATTTATCCTCAGAGCCCCAGACAGTAATACATAGCAAAAAGGTGCTTAAAACTGATCACATAAAAATGAATCATATATCAACCAGTAATACACATGAAGAGTGAAATAACTAATTGCAAAGGAGAAAATTAGTTTGGGTTTCATGGTTTACTCATGATTCAATATGTATAATTTATGGATAGGAACAAAGTGACAAGCAGACTGATCCAAAAGGAGACCTGGCTGAATTTCCTGGCCTTTGTAGTGGTTTATCATGCTCACTAAATTACTCACTAGGCACCTATGGCTCTTCCTGAAATTAAAAAAAAAGCCAACCATAATAATTTCTATTATCTCAATTCATAAATGTATAAAACTCTATAGGCAATTAGACAAAAAGTTTTCATGTTTTAACTAATAATTATAGCCATAAGGATTTAGAATAAGTGGCACTGTTTTGAAAGTATGCTAATTAATCTTCAGACACATACCTCATAGGTGCTCATGTATCCTTGCCCCTACCACTGTGGTAGCCACTCAAGCTATTCTTCAGGGTGAGATTCCTACCATCTTAACATTTGGCAAACAGCAATTGAGGCTAATAACAAATCATGCCACTTGCCACTTAGCCCAAAACAGCTGTGAAAGGGATAAGTTGTGCAAGCAGAATACTGCTCTTAATCAAACTTCTCATCCAACTTGATTCACAGAGGGAAAATAGGGTACCTTTCTGTGGGTTGAACAAATCGCAACACACCTTTTAGAGGTTTAGATCAGAAGTTTCAGTATCACACATAGCTATGATCAAATTCTCATGGTAATAAGCATACTTTGAAATATTATACAGCTAAAGATTTATAATCATCTTGGGCCTAATTAGTGTAATCTGTGCAGCTGAACTCAGTAGCACACTAAGCCTATCACATTACAGTAACAGCACTCATTTTTCAGTTGACATTAGACGTCACTGCATTCTCCTTGAACTTGTAACTTGGGCATGCTTATGTCTTTGTTTCATAAAAATTATCAATTATATTGGCTTCCTCTTCCACTTCTAGCAACTCTCAACTATACAGTACTTTGTCATTTTTCATCACATTCCTACACCTCAAAATAGCATTCAATTCTTTTACTTTAAAACAAAAAGGAAATATACTCCACTAGATACACACTAAGCAACATCTGATCAGTGATGATGAAATGTGTGATGAGATTTATTAAATCAAGATGAAAAGCTCTTATTTTACTCAGAAATTACTCTGAGGGTTTAATATATGTTAGCCACTGTGCTGTATGCTAGGAATATAATAGTGAACAAAATGCTTTTCTTCATGGAGAAACGAAAAAGATAGTTGTAACCAACAAATAGTAGTGTGAGGTTACATAGCAACTGTTGTGAAAGAAAATAAAGGGTAAAAGCAACGAAGTTATACTAGCACCATGTGACCCATAAGGATGCTCAGGACAATTTATAAACTAGTGAGAATGAGTTAAGAAATACTCAAAAGATTTGGCTATACCAGGAACTAGTTTTCATTCTTTAGGCAATTTACTTGATATTCTGGATTTACTTTATCATTTAAAAACAAATTAATTCTTAAAATAATGACCTTAATAATAATCCCTTCTATAAGACATAGGTGTGTATTTACAATCGCCATAGGTGTGTATTTACAATCAGGCCCAGGTAAAGACAAAATGAAAAGGAAGCACCTATATGTCTGAAATTACTTAAAAGAATCTTATCTTAAAAACCGAAATATAAAACCATCTCACTATCAGTATCACCAAGAAATATCTCAGTTTACTGCCAGCTAGAAACCCTGTTTACAACTGTGCAGCTGATGAAATGCCTAAAGGAACAGGGAAAAGAGTGGTCAGTGTGCTGTAGAAAGCCATTTATTTTATTAATAATGAAAGACCAGTCAGCATTAAAGTCAAACTTCATAATCCTGAAATGAGTCGCAGAAATTACCTTTTTACAGATTCTTACCTCCCCTTCATCAGTAAATGTTATTTTCTTATTCACTTTAAATTTTCTCTTCATTACTTTTTTTGCTTCTGCAACCTTGGTTAATTTTTTCTTGACACTGGATTTAGAAGGTTCTTTTTTCTATGTAAGGAAAAAAAAAATTAGAGAAATGATTGCAATATGGCAATATACTTTCCAAAACTGACTGTACTTTTTGTTCTCATTGGTTATTAGAAGCACCCAAAACAATGTCCAGAAACTAAGCTATTAGGTATTTTGACTAATGGCTCCCTCAGAGTTTAAGGAGATCTAAATGTGAATTTGACAGGCATTACACACAGCCTTTCATTTTGTTCTGTTGCTAGATTGTGCTACCTAAAAATGCTAAAGCACCACAAACAATAAGATTAATTCAACGAACCGTCATAAGACAAAGCTGTTCTCCAACAAAGGACTGTTTTACCATTCTTTCATTGAAGGACATTGGTGTTGTTTCCAGATTTACTTTAATAGCTAAATTTCTTTCCACAGTGCTTACCTGATAGTAAATATAGAGTAAGCTCATTATGTTTGAAAACTAGATATCTTGTAAGAAAGAATATTTCTATATGTATAAGATAAGGCCCTAGTGACCTTAAACCTTAGTTTTCTTTTATCCTTGTTGAGTAAATATGTATTATTGTCCTGCCATACTACATAATTCCTTAAACATGGACTAATCACTGGATGTGTAGACATCTTTGGTAGCGGGCTGGAGAAATGACTCAGCATGTACTGCTTGAGTTAAGTTCCCAGGTCTCATGGCAAAGAGTTCACAACTGCCTCTAACTCCAGCTGTAGTGGGATCAAAGCCTCTGACCTCCAAGGGCACTGGCACACACATTCACATATACACAGACACACATGCAACATAGATTATGTGGAAAGACTAAACAATAAAAAAGCTGTAGGACAAGTTCATACCAAGTAGACAGAGGCTTATGTCACAATATACTAGACTGTGGTCTTCCTAGTTTTTAATTCTGTACCATAGGGAACCACTCAGGGATGGTGAGAAAACAAGATGGGGAAGATGTACATTGGTACAAGTATTATGGCAATAAATATGCACAAAATTTCACTTCATGAGATGTTGTTAATGATGAATATTTAAAAATAAAACGCCCTAAAATTAAAAATCAACTTATTAACACAGGTTTATGACAAGTTATTAATATATTTTTAGACAATTTTTTAGTCATAAAAATCAGCTAGTGCATACAATAATATTATGATTTAAGTAAAGAACATTGTTTGGACATTGTGGTCCTTTTACATGGGTATTGCTATCAACACTGCCTTTATGCTTCTGGTTTTTAATATGGACAATCTATAGTATTTAATTGCATTAAATTATTTCTGTGACCAAAAACCAATTTATATCTAGTTAACTACTAGCACATTGACACAAGGCTTATGAGATTTGCTTATTAGACTTTAACATGCTAAAATCAGCATATTTACCTCACAATACTTCTATGAGAAGATGGAAGTTTTAGAATTTATTTTCTCATGAGACAACCATCTCCTCTTCAGCCCTTTGTGGCTTCATGAAAGTTTCCAAGTGGTAGCATACAGTCTTCCCTTGCTATGCCTACTCCTCAAAGTCTCCTCCCTACCAGTCTCTAAGACAAACATGTATCATCCTCTGGGAATTACTGTTCTCATTTCGTTATCTTACTTCAGAGAACAACTGAGTAAATGGGATGGAAGTAAAACTCAGTTAAAAGGGACTGGGATGGCAGGCAGCTTGTTAACCTAAATAAGGTGGTAAGTGTGGGACTCTGTGAACACAGGAAATGACTAAGACACTCACTTCCTTAAGCCCATCCAGAACTGCTACAGCAACTTTCCCCCACAAAGGCTTGTCAGAGACCTCCTCTACCCCTACTGGAGGTTGGGGGCAACACCTCATTATTGACTTCTACTGAATCTCCTCAGTTTTTTGGTGAAAGAAATTCTTAAGGATCATGGATTGCCTGATCTTCTATCATCAAATCTTATCTATTGATAGAAGGAATGCAGATCAGCTGATATACGCATTATAATGTAAACAATAAATCAAAGACAGAATCATAGACTAGTAAACTAAAAGTAGTGGGAAATTCTATGAGCAAACTTTCCATGGTGATGTATAATTACCTTTATAACAGTTTGAGTAATAGGAGGATATGTTGAGCAAGCCAATCAAATATTTACAATTCTGATTTGGGGATATCTTTGTATAACATGTAAATTTATACACCAAAAAGTACTGTCAACAAATACTGAATTCCAGTTAATGCTATGCATTCTAAACTATATGGGGGAATATAATGATGTCAGCAATGTACTCAGAAATAAGCTCAATAAGACAGATGACAGATGGATATTGACAAACAAGATAAAAGAAATATTGTAAAAGATTAATTATAAGGCAGGTGGATCTCTGTGAGTTCAAGGCCAGCCTGGTCTACATAGTGAGTTCCAGGACAGCTGGGGCTACAGGGAGATCCTTTCTCAAAAAGACCAGGGGGGGGAAAAAAAAAATTAATTACAGAAGTTTGGTAGGTGGGATCATTCACACTGAATTTTTTTTTTTTTTAATTCTTAATATAACACAACAGTCTAGTCCTATAAACAGGAAGGAAAAGTCAGAGGATACACTCTGTAATACCAAAAATTGTCAGAATAAAGGTAAGATAAACTGTATATTCTCATGATGCAGGTCTAGGTGAAAACCTTTAACAAAGTCCCTAAATCTACTGATATCATGGGACAAAATGCAGAGGTATTTGTGCTTTTGCCTTTTTATGGTTTATCTTGGTTTCTAAAAGGGAAGATTCTTTTTCCACCCCTCCACCAACAAAAAAAGGTTACCTATATAAAACAAATTTTCAAGAAAATACTGGAAAAAAAGGCAACAGAAATGACATTAAGCTGAGTTTATCATAGTTTCATGATAAGCTATTTATTACTTGTCAACGACATTATAGAATTACTCGTCATTAATAATGTGCACTATTAACTACACAGCACAAGGCATCTGTGTCATTTGACTTTCTGTCACTATACCAAACATCATAGATAACGTGATTGCAGAAAAAGTTTATTTGGGATTTTAGTCCAAGATATGTTGGCTCCATTGCGTTAGACAAAGCACAATATAAGGAGGTCACATAGTGAAGCAAAGCCACTTTCTACTAGGTCAAGAAAAAAGGAGAAAGGAGTTTGGGTGGCATTACCCACTTCAACGACATGAGTCCAAAGCCTAAAAACTTCCCACTAGGCCCTGTTTCTTTACTTAAACTTTCCACCATCTACTGACAGCAATACACTGGGAACCAAGCCTTTACCACATGGACCTTCCAGGGACATGTAAGATGAAAATTACAGTTCCATCATGGCACATAAGGCGGTCCAGTAATGCAAGGTTGGTAGTCTCTCAGGCCTCAAAGAGGCTAACTATATACACAGAAAAGGATATTATATTAAAAAATTAACTATTTAACCTCAAACAGTAAGTGCTCAGATAAATATTTAAGATGAATAAATACATAACAGGTTGCCTGCCCCAACTAGTAAGTGATGAGGAGCACAGGTCAAGGAAAACTTCCTTAAAAGAAAGAGAGATGGGGCCTAGAGAGATAGCTCAGAGCACAGCTGCTCTTGCAGAGGACCTGGGTTCCACACCCATATGGCTGCTAAAAACTGTCCGTAACTCCACAGGCATTGCATGACATGGATACACTTACATACATGCAGGCAATACACTCATACACATAAAAATAATAAAATAATTTTTTAAAAGAGAGCGAGCTGCGGGCTGGAAAGATGTCTCAGCAGTTACGAACACTTGCTATTCTTCCAGAGGACCTGGGTTCAATTACTAGCATCCACATCTCAGCCAAAAACCATCTGTAACTCCAGTTCCATGGGAGCCAATACCCTCTTCTGGCCTCTGTGGGCACTGCACACACATGGTGCACTTACAAACGTGCAGGCAACACACACACACACACACACACACACACACACACATAATAAAAATAACAAATATTTAAATTAGAGGAAAACACACTAAAACATGGATTATTGGGACATCAATACACCTGTGAACCCCATTGATGGCATTTTTTCACACATGAATTCTAAGAGGGTTTGATTCAGTGTGTGTGTGTGTGTGTGTGTGTGTGTGTGTGTGTATGTACATGTGTGCATGTGTATGTTATACAAGTAAGCGTCTGTGGAGGTTGTGGAGGTTGGGCCGCACTTACCTGTGTATAAAAATAAGGCAGTCAGAGGATGCCATATAGTATTTTCTTCTAGCACTTTCCACCTTAATTTTTTGGGACAGGTTCCCTCACTGAACTTGGAGCTCACCATTTCTGCTAGAACCGTGGCCAACAAGTCCCCCAGGATCTGTCTCTCTCCCCTCCGATACTACACTGAGGGTTATGTCGCCACACTCAACTTTTTTTTTTTTTTTAAGAAGAAGCATTTCACTACAGCTTTAACATATTCAGCAACAATTTCCAGAGCAAGGATACATCTCTTTCAAAAGTGGCTGTAAATTTTTAAGTTCACAGTTAAATTAATACAGTTATACAATATTGAACTCAGTATAAACCCTGTAAGACA